CATACTATTTTTATAAATGTAAATATTTTCATTAAAAAACAAAATATAAGTAAATATAGTTATTTAAATAGTATGACACATCGACCCGCCTCCAACACAAAAATTTGTGAAACCTACTTGATTAAAGTTTAAGTTCCTACTATTACTCTTGACATATAGAAAAATAACTCAATTTAATATGAGAGTCTAATGTGGTCGATCCATTATATTTTTTCTTAGTAGAAACACATACTTTAAAGTGAAATATCATACTTTTATTCATATTTTTTTTATAGTATATCGATTAATTATGAAAGTATGCATATTTATTAAAAGTTAAACAATTATGAAAGTATGCATATTTATTAAAAGTGTAATTGTTTAACGGTTATACTTGGCTAACAACAACCTAAAAAAACAATTATAAAAAATAATAATAAAAATACAACCTATAAAATAAAACAGAGCTCCTCCAAAATATATTAACCTGTAGTCTTAAACCACAAAACTAAGGTCTAATACAATGCCACACAGATATTATTCAGCATAAAATGCAATATCCAAATAGAGTGCCCCTTTGCATGAATATAGCCACTCACTAATCACTACACACACAAGGAAGCAGATTAACAATGGTGTCTCATTTTTTCTTTTTCTTTTGTTGTTTACTTTGACTATTTTCTCTGAGTCATTCGTTCTTTTTGTCGGTTTTTTCGGAAGTTAAAGAACCGGTGCGGTAAGGCTCGGCTGTGTAGGCATACTGCATGAAAAGAGCGAAGAAAACCATCTCGATAATCACCAACACATTCTGAAGAGCTTCCTCCAAATGCTCCACGTCTAGCCAGAAATGGTTCGATTTTATTAACCCCATTGCTACAAGAATATCCAGCAGAAATCCCTGCAGACAAATTAAACCAAAAAAAAAATAAATGAATAAAAATTCGAGTAATAAGCAACCATATTGTTATATATCGAGCCCAAGAAAACTGTGAAAGACGAATGGCGAATCTTTACCTGCCAGAAACAAAAGAAAACGATGCCTTTAACACACAAAAATTTGGCGAGAGGTTTGTGTGGGGCCAACTCCTTTGCGAAAACATGGTAAAAAACCACGAGAGAGTACAGAGCGAGTGAAACCGAGACGTTGAGGATGATTGTGAATGTCCAGCTCAGCCAGCTCGGGTATATATCGAGAAGCTGACAAGCTATCATCAAGATTGAGCAAACGGGTCGGATCACAACAAATTGCCAAGTCCAATTCTTGAGTAGTTTTAAGTTTTTGTGGTCCAACCGAACAGTATGAGGCTACATTTCAAATATAAACATTATTACTGTTTGTAAGTTTAAAGAGAAAAATGAACTTGTAATAAACTAGAATTTGCTCATGTGCATTATAATCTAAGGTAAATGAACAAATATCATGACGATAATAAATAGATAAATTAATAAAATGAAAAAAGGTACCTGGAAAAGAGTCATTGGGAAAGAGTGATGGATCTCTCTTCCTTTAATCTCATCAGGCACTATGTTATTGCTGATAGATATGTTCAAGTATGTATACATCAATGCCAAGAATTTCGCCATCACCTAAAAAAACAACGAAATTTCAATAACCGAAAACGTTTTTCATCCCAAAGACAAACAAATTCATATCTCAAAATTGACAAAAAAAAAAAAAAGCTCACCAGAGCCTCGTAACATTCTTTTATCGATTCCAAGAAAGTGAAAAATGTCGTGCTCCCTCGTATGTCTAACAAACCAACGTATGAGCTGATGGCATATAAAGGAGCCATTAGGACAATAATGATAATCGCCTTTTGCTCCTTCGGCTTTTTCCACGACATGTTATGTTGGGAAACTAGTCTTATCGAGAAGTGCAGACATAGCATAACGCACACAGTCGATCCCATCAGCGTAAACTGCCCACGATCCATGGTGAAGGTTTCTCTAGCTATAGAAAGTGAAAAAAGCCCAAATGTTAAATAAAATCTCATGACATCAAGTCCAACAGTAAGAGGATAGTCCTGAATGTTACTCAAGAAAAGCTCACATTTTTATTCATTTTTTTTTTCTGACTTATGTTTTATTGAATCATAATTTGAAGGGTATGTATAGTGTATCATGACTTAGAATTTGCGATATCATCTTTGCATCAAAGTATGATCATCTCTACAAGATATGAATAACAGCATTGAATCTCAAACAGGGTTTGGTCTAATAATAAAATATGTTCCTTTACTGCAAACTAAATTATCTGTCAATAAATTTAAGTGTCTCAGCTTCCATCTTTACTAACATTATCAACAACAACAAGAATAACAGCCCAGAACAACTCAAGGAACAAATAGTACAACAGACAAGAGACCCATTAATAAATACTGCATAAAGATTAAATCAAACCAACAAATAGACGATGCCCACAAAACAATTTAAGCACAAAAAAAAGGGAAAAAAAAATTGAGATGATTAGAGCAAGGAAGTTTAAAGCCACCACTTACAGAAAGAGAGAGCTACAGGGCCGTCAATCACTCAATCCTGGCCCGGTGTAGAAATCAGGGGCAATTAAATGAAAACTGAAAGCTTGGATCTTGGCTCATACAATAAAAAATCAAAATTTTTTAAAGCTTGGATCTTGACTCCAATACACAGTGATTTCATGAATGATTAATCCATGTACCGCTTTGGACTCGTAGGTAGCAGAGGCAAGGTTTGATTGTTAGGTGAGAACTGAGAAGTGAATATATTGGAGATTAAAAAAAA